GTAATCATGCTGTGACCAAGTTGTATAGCTGTGCTAATTCCTTGTATGTAACTGAAGCTTTATCCTTTTAGGGCCATGTCTCCACTACAGAGAAGATCGTGAATTCTGTGTCTTAATTCAAGCTTATACTCTAGTGTAGACTAGGGCCATGTCTCCACTACAGAGAAGATTGTGAACGTAGCTGGAGTTCTGTGTCTTAATTCAAGCTTATCCTCTAGTGTAGACCTAGCCTGGTAGAACACAGTTAAGATCCTGTCTGTAGCACAGAGCCGAACAGTTGTAACTGGGTCAGGGAACATCAGTGTTGTGAACAGGTCAGGGTTGTTTTGAGGCTGAAGACTGGCCCTACAGTGCACAGTGGAGGGCTTCTGAACTGAGCACTGTGTGAGGGGAAAATGCCATCAGAAGTTGTAGGCTGAAACACCATCATGACAGGTCTGAACTCTGACAAATTCCAGTTGGGCTGGATTTGTGGCACTAATACGCAATGTCAGGCTTCTCTATCCCGTCCGGTTTACCTGACATTGACAGCATACACACGTGGCTCAGATCCGCAGATTAATTTGGGGCTCAGTTCTGCTGGGTACTCCCTGGGTATGTCTACACTACAAAGTTAATTCGAACTAACAGCCGTTAGTTCGAATTAACTTTAATAGGCGCTACACAGGCAAACCGCTAGTTCGAACTTAATTCGAACTAGTGGAGCGCTTAATTTGAACTAGGTAAACCTCATTCTACGAGGACTAACGCCTAGTTCGAATTAAGTAGTTCGAATTAGTGCTGTAGTGTAGACATACCCCCTGAGAGGGATGCAGGAAACTAGGGTTCCCAAATTGCTTCCCCAGCTACATTGCACAGCTTAAGTGAGGGCCTGTCACTGTTGCAGTCCTTGGGCTGTCCCTGAGGCTCACGGTGTCCCATACATTGCACAGCTTAAGTGAGGGCCTGTCACTGTTGCCATCCCTGGGCTGTCCTGAGGCTCACAGTGTCCCCAAAGGAACAGGAAGGAAGCACAACCAAGGCCTTGCCCACTCCCTCTGCATCACCTCACAGAGGACAAGACTAACCAAGTGAAGAGGTTCAGCCTTCACCATCCTAAACGAATGTTGTCCTCTCTACAGGCCTCATGCACACTGGGCTCTTTAGGGGACATAATCCCTCCCTGACGTCCTCAGTCGATGCCACAGCTTTATGCTACCCCTCAGTCAGGCCACAATGACCCAATTTAGCTCTCCACCGTCCAAAAAGAAGCTAACACTTCAGTAAACTCTCTCCTTTTGAACTTCCAGCGCTATGAAATGCCCTGAGCATTTTGCAAGAGGGACACTACCAAAATGAGACAAACAGATCCATTGAGTTTCAACTCTAGGTCCCTGGTTGAACTCCAGCACAGGGTAACTAACATTCAATGCAATGTTTTACCTTCCACTTGTGTTGCTCAGTGGCCTACGTCAAAGGAATTCAGACTCAGTCTAGTACTAAGTAGAGGGGAGTTCACATCACAAGAGGTGATTCTTCTGCAGTCACCAAAGGTCATCAGAGTAACCAAAGACTGAATGGGCACAGAAAACAAATTGGTCCTGTGTCTCTAGAGCTGATCGCCCCAAGGGAGGGTTCAAGCACACTAGCAGAGCAGCATTCAGGAAAGCCTTCAGTAAAGATGCCTGCGTTCTGGCTATTGTGGGCTTTTTTGTTGTTCTGGTGGGCTCTGGCCACTGTCCTAGGATTAAAATAAGACCGCTTCTTCCAAGAACGCTAACCTGTTCTTTGTTTTACTAACCTGTGTAGACTAAAAAAATTAACTCCTACTTACATCATGAGGTCATACTGTATGAAAGCAATTCCATCAAATTCTCTTCACATTTAAAACCTCCTGGCAATCATATATCAGGAGAGGGAATTTAACCACTTTCTCTGTATTCGGTAATCACATAAGGTGCTGGAGAATTATGCAGTGAAAGCTACATTTTTCTACCTCTAAATTAAGCCTTTAGTCCTTGTAGCTGTGAAAATGGACATCCAAATGTAAACAAATGCAGAGTGTTTGCCTGGTTCTGCAGACACCCTGAAACAATAGCTCAGATGGGGGTACAATTTGCCTCCATTGATCAACAAGGGCTCTGTGAAAATGCTCTTAGATTGCTGATTGTTTTAGCTGCATTCTTTTTGGACTAAAGACTTTGACTTGCTAGGAGTCTCCTGAAAATGAGAACAAATAACGTGATAAGAAACGTCTAAATATTCCCCATCTTTCTGCCTCTTTCTTTTGTCTGCTGTTCAGATTCTAGCTGTGTAATTTTCGTAAGCTTTACAAAGTGGAATGTGCCGCATGGTCATTTAGGCCAAAATGCTGCAGTTAAGATTTTCGTCTTGATGGTCCTTGGTTTACAGAGCCTGGATTATATTTTTTTCTCCTACGTGCTACTGAATATAACTCCACAGAATTGGAAGAGAGATTACAACATCTTTCATTTTAAAAAGATACAGACTCTAAAGTCCATTGTATTATTTTGTATTCACTGTAGTGTCCGGCATTGGGAGGGGGACAGTGTGAAGGCTTCTTGTAGGCAAGAATTAATGACATTTAGGAAGCAGAGGTTCAAGCCTTCCCAAAACATTCAAACTGCCTACAACTCTGCCCGTGAGAGTGAAGGAAAGAAAAGAGGCCAAAATAAATTTAAAAAAAAAAAACCTTTCCCTGTGCCAAAAGCCTGTTGTCCCCTGTCTGACTGCCAAACCTCCACTTGTACAGTGCAGCTAGCTATATGGTGCAAATACTAAAATCTGTGAGGGCACCATATAATGTTTGAAACTGATGCAAAGAAAAATAACGCCAGGAGGCTGTACTGACTGTATTACTCATTTGCACATTTAATTCAGGAACAGGCTCCATTTTTCAATTTTAGCTGGCGCTGGCTTGAGATTTCCAATTTGACCCACCTGAGCTGGGGCCTCCCCACAGAATGTAGGTTTTGCTTGGCACACAGCACCTTGCTTTTGGTATGAAATATGGGAGCGTGTTCAGATGTTTTTTCCCTCACCACAGTTAGTGCAAGAGAACAAGTTTAGCTCGCTGTAAAAACAAACTATTGAATACATCTGACGGTATCGGGTGGCAGGCTTCCTTAGTAATCTCACCCAGGTTTTCAAGGCATAATAGTGTCTGCATCAAAGGTACAAAGAATTAAACTGCCTCGCATTCAAGTGCATTTCTAATTTGCTTTCTGGGGAGTTCCTCTCACAGGTTAGTTCCTTGCTGTTCACCTACCCTATTGAGGTAACCACCCACAGTGTGCTGGGTTTCTTATCCTTTTTTCCATGGGAGTGTCAAGATGCTGTTAATCCAACCTATTGAATCCTGCTCTTGTGCACAGGGGGAAAAACATAAAACATTAAGGATCTTTTCCCGTGCAGTGAAAGATTGTGTGTGGCGTGCCCTGAAAGACACAAACCAGGGGCACAAAGGTCAAAAATGACTTTAAGCCACCTTTGTGCCTCCCAGGTTGGTCCTACTCTAATAGCTAAGCCTAGTGGGCGTCCCCACACCTGCCTGAAGGCTGCTCTGAAGTTCATCTATAGACATTTTTCTGTCCCTAGCTCCCACCTAACCTACCTTAGACTTAGAATCATAGAATTCTAGAGCTGGAAGAGATCTCAAGAGGTCATTGACTCCAGCTCCCTGCCCAAAGCAGGACCAACCCCAACTAAATCATCCCAGCCAGGGCTTTTCAAGCTGGGACTAAAAAACCACTATGGATGGAGATTCCACCACCTCCCTAGGAACCCATTCCAGGGGTTCCCCCCTTCTAGGGAAATAATGTTTCCTAATATCCAACCAAGACCTCCCCCACTGCAACTTGAGGCCATTGCTCCTTGTTCTGCATCTGTCACTACTGAGAACAGCCTTTCTCCATCCTCTTTGGAACCTCCCTTCAGGTAGTTAAAAGCTGCTATCAAATCCCCCCTCACTCTTCTCTTCTGCAGACTAAACAAGCCCAAATTCCTCAGCCTCTCCTCATAGGTCATGTGCTTCAGCCCCCTAATCATTTTGTTGCCCTCTGCTGGATCCTCTCCAATGCGTCCACATCCTTTCTGTAATGGGGGAGGGGGTGGCAGATTTGGATGCAATACTCCAGATGTGGCATCACCAGTGCCAAATAAAGGGGAATAGTCACTTCTCTAGATCTGCTGGCAATGTTCCTCTTATTGCACCCTAATATGCCATTAGCCTTCTTGGCTACAAGGGCACCCTGTTGACTTTATATCCAGCTTCTCATCCATCATAATCCCCAGGTCCTTTTCTGCCAAACTGCTACTTAGCCAGTCAGTCCCCAGCCTGTAACAATGCTTGGGATTCTTCCATCCCAAGTACAGGACTCTGCATTTGTCCTTGTTGAACCTCATCAGACTTCTCCTGCACTGGGGGAATTCTGCCTGCATCTCTTGCCTTTACAACATGTAAATGTTGTCAGAGTGGCACATGGAACATAAGCGGGAGCCAGACAAAGGTGAAAGGAAGCGGGTGCACCCTGGTGCACAGCCCCGGCAAGAGCTGACTGAGTTGCAGCAAAAGCCAGCAGGGAGCTATTGAAAGAGCTGGCAGGGACCCAGGTTTCAGTAGGACAGTACCTGTAAGAAATTTTACTTACTTTCACCACTGGGGCCAGAATGTGATCCAGAGTTGCAAAGACCTGCTAGACTGCGGGGAAGAGGGCTGTAGTGAATTATATACACTAATCTGAATAAACATTTCGTTTCAATCCTTCCCTTCTCTCTTCTGCATGCAGAAATAGGGCTGAGAATTTGCAAAAGACCAAGGAAGTCCCAGGGACGGCTCATGAGACTGCCTACCTGCTCAGCAATGGGCATAAAGACACCCCTTACAAAGGCCTTTTTGTGGTGTCAGGGTAACCCTGTCTGCCATATTGTGTACCACAGTGCTAAGAGTTAAAGGGCACAGCAGAGGATTAAAAGATTCATTCGCAATTCTTGTTCTCTAGCATGGAAGGTTCCATTGTCCGCCTGCCAGAGATAGTTGCCTTGAAGAAGAGATACAAAGCATACCTCTATTTGGATGAAGCCCACAGCATTGGCGCTGTGGGACCGACCGGCCGGGGCATCGTGGAATATTTTGGGATGAACCCTGAAGATGTTGATGTATTGATGGGTACATTCACCAAAAGCTTTGGAGCAGCTGGAGGATACATTGCTGGCAAGAAGGTAAATAGAAAACTTCTTATGTCTGTTTGACACTAAGCCACATGGCAGCCTGTCTGTATATGGCATATATGGCTGCTGTTCTATATAATCTGCTATATGGTGTTGTTATAGGCGGAAGGGCTGGGGCCTCAGCCAGAAGGAGGAGAGGAGACTTCGTGCATGCTCCCCCGTGGGGTAGAGCATGAGAGATCCCTTCTCTACCCCCCGCCCTGCCACAGCGCGACATCTAGAGGGAACTGCCAATTGTTTTGAACAACGGATGGTTCCCTCTGGAGCCGCACGCTCATGGTGGAGGGAGGAGACTTCGCGCACTCCCCCACCCCCAGGTCCCATTGGCCTAGGGGCTGGGAGGATGGCAAGGGGGGCCAGATGAAATGGCCCGGGGACTATATCTTGCCCACTCTTGGACAATAGTGAAGTTGAATACAGTAAGGTTTCTTTTCTTCTGCTAAAGCCAATGGGAGAGAATGCACTATTGTTTGCCATTCACACATCACCTTTCAGAAGGCTGAAGGTGGGACAACTCCAAATTTTAAATGTAGCTGTCGATTGGTCCCTCAGTGAGGCCAGGATCCAAACTCCTGCTGTCCCCCGTCCCCTCCGGTTTGTAAAGATTCTCATTATGTAAGCAAAGCAGCATCCTAGTTTGTAGCTTTCTTTCAGCCTTGGGTGTCCACCTTTCAATTTAAAGAATTTACATTTGCCAAGTATCACCTGAGGGTTTTTTTCAGACCATGGATTTTTAATAACAATTAAGAAAATAAATCAGTCATGAAATGTCTTGGTCAAATTGCCTTGGTCTCTGTTCTCGCCTATGTCAGTAGCCATGAAGAAGTTTTGCTCTCCCAACCATTCGATGTACATTCAAATTTTGTTTCACTTTTTTAAGGAACTTGTGGATTTCTTACGCACTCACTCCCACAGTGCAGTGTATGCCACATCTATGTGTCCACCTGTAGCAGAGCAAATCATTAGGGCAATGAAATGTGTCATGGGACTGGATGGAACAACACAAGGTAAGTCACCTTTTGTTAAATGTGCTTGTTTTATTTTATAATAGCATGTATGGAAAAAGCAAAAAAATACCTCCAAAAAAAGGGGCCCCTAAGGCAATACAAAAGTATAGGGGAAACTGCAGTATTCAGTAATTCACAATGTACTATCATAGTCACCCTTGCATGCCTTCGGTGTTTTTAATCCTGATTCTACACATTTATCCACAGTTTCATCCATAATATCAGACCACATTGTTAATTATTTACTTGTTCCCATAACGCAAGAACTAGGGGGTCACCAAATGAAATGAATAGGTGGCAGGTTTAAAACAAAACGAAAGGAAGTACTTCTTCACCTGATGCACAGCCAACCTGTGGAACTCCTTGCCAGAGGATGTTGTGAAGACCAGGACTTGAACAGAGTTCAAAAAAGTGCTATATAAATTCATGGAGGATAGGTCCATCAATGGCTATTAGCCAGGATGGAATAGCAATGGTGTCCCTAGCCTCTGTTTTTCAGAGGATGGGAATGGGTGACAGGGGTGGGATCGCTTGATGATTACCTCTTCCATTCACTCCATCTGGGGCACATGAAGTTGGCCACTGTCAAAAGACAGGATACTGGGCTAGACAGAACTTTGGTCTGACCCAGTATGGCCGTTCTTATGGTATGTTTGTATATTCCATTATCAAACTAAGCTTCACAAAACGCCTGCGAGATGTCTATTTTGCTGTTTGGTAAACTGAGGCATACATTGCTTTTTTTTTTTTTTTGGTGGGTGTGGGAGGGTGACTTGTTAAAGGTCACAGTGGCAGAAATGGAAGTGCCCCTCTGGAGTCCTTGCTCTCAATTGTCTCTTCTAGCCACTAGCCCACATAGCTTCCCAAAAACATAAAAGAAAAATATATAAACTCTTTAAATCTTATGACTGTCTTCACATCATGAGTTCAGAATTAAAGCAAGAGATCGCTCATTAACCTTGCTGTGTTATTGCAATACAAATACTACTTGAAGACCACTCCTGCAGTTTGAAACTCAGTTGAAAGCATGCTGTAGGCTGTCTCCCAACGTGTGTTATTGTACATGATGGTACTATTAAAATTAATGTCGCACTTCAGTTTGAGACAAGATTGCTTGGTCCTGAAGTTATTTTGTTTCCAAACATGCTTTGTCCCTCCCCCAAGCTCTGGCGAAACTGCAATAAAGACATAACCATGTCATTTATGGAGGCGAACTTCTATTTGTATTTCTCCTGTGATCGGTGATCTACTTCAATGTAGCCAAGGATCAGAGTCTCTATATAATGTACACTATATAAAGGGTACAACAGCTGTGTTATGCAATGCTCTGCTAATACTGTAGTATGTTAAGGATGTTCTATCCAAGCTCTTGGGACTTAAATTTGTCCTAACCCTGGGTTAATAGTTGATGTGCCATACCAGTGCATTTTAATTTTCCCAAGGGAGAATGATGTGGATATTGCAATTTTAGTATAACATAATAATGGCAGAGCCAGACTGTGTCCTCAGCTGCAACTCATCTATGCTGATTCAGCAACCCTCAGGAGGTAGAATCTTCTAGGGGTCCCTTGCCTAGTGAGAGCTACTCAATGACTTTGTGCTGGCCATCTCTGATAGTCCTGGGGTGGGAGGCATGAATGGGGATGGAGAAAGATGAAGTACCAGAGTAGGCCTGGCCACATCAGACTGCTCTCCAACTCTTTCATACTGATGCAATGCTATTGCAAACCAGTACAATTATAGCAGTCCTGGTGCTACTTAGGTTTGCACCAGGGACTAATGTGTCTATAGCAGTCCTGGTGCTACTTAGGTTTGTAAGGAACTAATGTGTACGCTGGCCTAGGCCAGCATTTGCAAAGTGCTAATGCAGAAAAGGAGGAATGGGAGAATCTGTCCCAAAATACCAAAATTCATTTTAGTGCACTAGTGAAAATTAGGGTTATTTGGAATCTAGAAACACTCCATTGTGATGCCTGTAGGCTGGGGAAATGACATTTTAGTCATTTAGGCAAATCATCCAAATTGGATTAAGGAAGTTGCTGTTATACTCTCCTGTTTGAAAGGTGAAGGGTTGGGGATAGTAACATCTGTGTAGCATCTGATAGAAGAGACTAGCTCTGGTGTACACTTTGCATCTTCCCTACTGTACATTCAAGTGCTCCTGATACAGTAGAATTCTCTGCATCAGTTTTATAAAAATGCTTACCAACAGAGGGCAATATTGTACTAACCCTTTTCAAAAGTCATGTCTTTAGTGCCTAAGAAATCTGGCATGTAAAGCAGTCTTTCTGTAAGCTCTTGCAATCGCAGCCTTTCGGAGCTGCTTAGAAATGACTTTGGGCTAGCATGATTCTGTATACAGGGTTCTGTAGGACACTTTGGTGGCAGAGCTGGGTTTAAGGGAGAGCCTTTAAAGCTGTCCACCCTAGGTGCTTTGGAGGATTAGGGGTTCAGAACAAATCCTGTCAGCAGCAATGTAGTTTAGTGACGCACTGAGTTGGTCCATCTAGTTCTATATTCTGCCTCCACAATGGCTTATGCCAGAGCATTCTGAAAATGGTGAAAAATTCCCTGAGGCATGTGGCTGTTTCTGCACAGGGCCGCTGACACCGGGAGGAAGGAGGGCAGCAAATGGGGCAGGTGCCACAGGACCTGCTGATATAAAAACACTTGGGTCTCCCAGCTGCTGCTACTACTGCAGCAGCAGCATAAACCCCAGGCAGCCCAAGCGGGGAAGTGATGAAAGGCTTGCTATGAGAGGCTAGCCACCCAGACCAACCCCTCCAACCCAAGGCTCCACCACTTCTGGGGCCAAGAGCTGCCCCCCTCCAGCTTGTCCACAGGCTTGTCAATTTTGTTACAGCCCTGTTTGTGCAGTAGTAGCATTCTTAGTTAAAAGAGTATGAAATCTCTCTCTGAGCCCATATGTCCAGTTCAGGTACTAAAGTTTGAGAACTAACAGCACTTGCAATTTTTATCCTAGGTAGAGTAACTGGCTGCAAATATAGTTCATATAAGATAGCTGTTAATAAAACAGAAGTATGTAATCCCTATGTGAACCTTCCACACAGCTATAATTTCCTCACCAATGCCATGCAGCAAGGAGTTCTATAAGTTAGTTGGCAGGATTATTTTAAGTCATTTTCTCCTTTTTAAACTTACATTGCCTTTTAATCTCAACTATACCCTTCTTCATTCACATGAGCTATGGTAAGCAGAAATGCCCATGGCATTCACTTTATAGTTTGCAATATATATTCTTTGTACCTCCTCTTCATGGCTTCTCCTTCCACCACAGGAGGAAACGCAACAGCAGCCTTAGCAGTTTTATCCCTGCAATGAGCCTGCACTTGGCTCAGAAAATTTGGACTCTGATTTTGAATAATTGCATATACTATACGTACCTGCCTGTAAGGTACTGAAAGCGCTTCTTGACTACGATTAGGTCTGAGAGCCATGCTAGCCCCTTCCAGCTGTGACCTTGGACACCTTTTTTTTTTATTAAGAATACCACAAGCATACTTTTACACTTAAATCTGATAGGTTTGAGTTTAAAAAAAAAACACTAACCACCACTAACAAACAAAAGCTACATTCATACCGACAAAGAATAAATTGTAGTGATGTAACTTGCAAATTAAAGCATTTTAAAAGCCATATTTTTTAATAGCTGGTAAATCATTAACAACAAAATAGCATTCCTTTTTGTATGCTTTTATGGGACTCTGTCAAATTTTAAAATATATTAAGGAGCTGCTGTCCTCATGCATATTACAAAACAATAACTGAGATTATTAAAACCAATAAGATGTTTTTAAAATGCAAATGATTTTTGCTATTTATGCTATTTAATTTTGAATCACAATTTCTCTCGCTGCTTAGAAAATGAAAATGGTCTCCTAGTTTGAAGTCAGAATTGCGTTCTCATATACTAGGTCGATACTGGCATGTTTGGATTACAAAGCCTGCAGGGGAATATGTTTTGTTTTTAAAGTTTTTTATAAAATTGCTTTCCACTGAAATTGAAGGTGAATTCCTGGAAGCATTTACCTTTGTCTTAGATTTTGTAAATATTTAGGACCATGTCTTAAAAAATGCTCCCACAGTTGGCACCGGATTTTCAAAATAGCTCAGCACCTGACAACTGAGCTTCCAGGACTAAATGGGAACCGAGCACTCTTTTGAAAAATCTGGCTTTTCACGTTTTGTAAAAATTAAATATGGTTGTCAGCATTGCTGGTCAAAATCTAAGGCCTTAATACAGCAATCTGCTTTGTGTGGGCAGGCCCCAGCACCCTCGCACAGTAGCTTTCAGGATTGGAGCCATAATGAGCTATTCAGGCAGTCCCCGGGTTACATGGATCCGACTTACATCGGATCCCTACTTACAAATGGGGTGAGGCAACCCCGCACTAGCTGCTTCCCCCCAGCAGACAAGAGAGACGTAAAGCTAGCACCCTAGCCCCCCTCCCCCCCCCAGCAGACCAGGGAGACGCAGAGCGGCTTTTCTCAGCAGACTCCTCAGCTTGAGAATAAAGGACTGAGGGAAGTGAGGTGTGGGAGAATAAAACTGAGCTCTGGAGAAATGTTTCGCTAGAGTTTCCCCTACAATATGTACCAGTTCCGACTTACATACAAATTCAACTTAAGAACAAACCTACAGTCCCTATCTTGTACGTAACCCGGGGACTGCCTGTACTTGTTTCTAATGATTGTGGAACTTTCCTTTTTTGCTCCCTCAAATTTTCTTCCTGTCTTTTGTTTTTTTGTTTTTTTAATGAACTACAATAACTTCTCTTAGGTCTTGATCCAGCAGAACACTTAAGGACATGCTTCATTTAAAGCCTGGGAGTATTCTCATTAAATATCTCTCTGTGATGTGCTTAAGTGCTTGGCTGGATCAGGGCCTTAGTGGCTGCCGTTTTCTCAGCGGCTGACAACATGACAGAGTCATGGCACTGCTTAGGTTTGGGCACTGCGCCACCTCTTGCATCATGTTG